TGCAGCATGCTTTAAATAAAACTTAATAAAATCCTATAATAAAAATGTATACAATATGGCACCAACTTTTTACATGCACAAAAATATTCACATTAAGTGGACAGCATATATACTGGCAAATCTTTGTCCATCTTCCTTAAATTACACTATAATCATATTATTGCAATAAAATAATGTGAGTTGAGATTTTATTTTTGGAAGAGGGTAATTTACCAGTCTGCAGCTTTATTGTTCTGCTTTGTGTGTGCACGCCTTCAAATACAAGATGAAAGTGAGAAAGAGGAGATAAGTGATGAGAATCATAATGTATTTTATTGGTAATTCTGCAGTTTTAAGAGAACAGAATTTTGTTTATGGGAGAGACCAAATGTTGCTACTTCATAGAGAAGCAGAAGAGAGAAGGAAAGCTCAGCAAGCTAGACTGACTCTTGACCTTTTAAACCAGCCCTGAGGTGATATGTAGCCTGTTCCACTGTCATCTCGCTTCAAAGCTTGTGGTTAAAATGGTTTTTTTCTGTTTATCATATACAATTTTATATTCATCTGCTGATGATCACAAGGCAGGGCAGAAAATACCGTCAGTGCAAAAGGCCCTAATAACGATTAGTGACTGATTCAGCTGCCCCTGAATTTCACCTAGAGGGAAATTGAATGCCTACCTTGGAGAACCATGCTGAGGCATAATACCTGGAGGTGTTTTTGAGGGATTTTTAAAAGGCCACTTCACAAAGTTTTGTGCAGATTCTTAGGGGAGGGAGGTTCACTCCTTTAAGCTGCTTCATGTTCTGCCTAAAGCAAAATTTGAGATTAATCTGGAGGACCCTTTAAGAAGGCAAAACATCTGTAAGAATTTAGCACGTAGTTAAGAGTATCACTGTCAAATATTCTTGGAGGAGTGGGGGAGGTGGCCCTTGGAATATCTTCACATCACCATTTGGTCTGTGGTAGCCAAGGGCTACTTAGGGACGCGGGTGGCGCTGTGGGTTAAACCACAGAGCCTAGGACTTGCCAATCAGAACGTCGGTGGTTCGAATCCCTGTGACGGGGTGAGCTCCTGTTGCTCGGTCCCTGCTCCTGCCAACCTAGCAGTTCGAAAGCATGTCAAAGTGCAAGTAGATAAATAGGTACTGCTCCAGCGGGAAGGTAAACGGCGTTTCCGTGTGCTGCTCTGGCTTGCCAGAAGGGGCTTAGTCATGCTGGCGACATGACCCGGAAGCTGTATGCTGGCTGCCCTTGGCTTGGTAAAGGGACCCCTAATGGTCAGGGGTCCCTTTACCTAGCCAAGGGCAGCATAAGATGCTTCCTTACACTGAGTCAAACCAATTGGCCCATCTGTTGTCTACACTGTGTTGTCTACACTAACTGGCACTGGCTCTTCAGGGTTACAGACATGGATTCTTTTCCATCTCTACCTGGAGATGCCAAGGATTGAACCATGGACCATCTACATGCAAAGCAAGTGTTCTGTCACTGAGCTACAGAAAGGGCATGAAAGTGAGTGCAACCATAATTGGCTGGTATGTCTGTTGTCTGGACAAAAGCACCCTTGGGAAACTACCAGGGACAGAGCACCCTGGCGGGGCCCATTGCTGTCTTGATGTGTGCCCTGTACAGCTGGATCTTGCAACTGCCACTTTCATTTCCCACAGTGACGCACAGCAATGCTGCACCAGCCAAGCCTTGCAGTGTGGCCTCTCTCCGTAGGCAGGGTTTAGCTTTTAGCAGCAGGAACAGCAACATCAAATTTATTATATGGTCAAAGATCTGGTAAATAATTGCTATAATTTAAATCGAAGTACAGTATATTAAACTATTGTGAGGAAGGCACTGGATGATTAGTGTGTTTGCTTAGTCTGCCGACCAGGTGCTAATAACTGCTAATAGACAAGTGCAAGGCTCCTGCTTCTGTTCTTATGATTTCTTATCTGTAAACCAGACTTGGACCAGGTATCTGTCAAACGGAGGGAACTTTCAAACAGAGGACTGTCCTCTGTAAAGGAGGCAGCCATGAGTTTAAATGCTTACATGTGTCACCCAGTCATGTGAAAAAGCCACACTTATCACCACTGGTCCACAGCTCTGATTTACATTTTTGGATCAGCTGTGATTTATATTTTTAGCTCCCCATTTTGCATGTTGCACAAATACTCTTCCCCTGAGGGCATGCTGTTATTTCCAGAATGATTAATAGTGGAGCTATTTGAGCTCCTCAGGTGGTTTTCATTATTTTCCAGAGATAACCTGTTGTAAGTAAATTTATTCACAAGTCATTGGGCATGCATGGCAACTAGCCCTGCAAGAATTATTATATTTGTACTGTGTTTTCAGCTCTAAAGAGCCTGATTTTTTTTGGGGGGGGGGTCCCCAAGGTAGCTTACATCAATAATTTGTCTTCCAGGTGAGCAACAATATCTAGAATTTAAACCATTACAGAAATCTCTCACTTGTGGGGTTTGGTGGTAGTGTCTTGATCAAGCCCCACACTTATAAAGGAAGTTGTGGATTTCTTTATATTTGACATAGAAACTACGGACCTCCAGAATGAATTAAGTTCTTAACCCGAGGCACCACTGTATAAAACCCAATACTTAACAACAATTCAATTTCAGCATAACAGCCCAAGTGGGGTGCTTTTTCAAATGGTGATGTTAAAGACAAAAGGCAGATGGTAGAGATGTAAAGTTACTGGGATTTCTTTGTTTGCTAGGGAAGCAAAGGCTCCATGTCTCGTACCCATCTTATAGATAATGCTGAAAACAGCCATCTCCTCACTGAATAATGATGGAGGCACTTGCTCCATAGTGTTTCTGTCTCTCACAGTAACTTTACATCTCTACCATCTGCCTCCCCAATACTGAACTTTACATTAGGCTGCTGTGAATGTGCAACACAATTATTTTGCCATGTACTTACCTCTCAGTATTACATAATTATACATTGTAATTATGTCATTATATGTACTTACTTTAACAACATAATACAGCCTATTTCTAAAATTACATTATTAAGAACATTGTTTTTTACCCAACAAAAAAATGGTTGCTGGAAGGAACATTGTGGCTGCAACAAGCACATTATATTTCTTGTTGTTGTTTAGTCGTTTTGTTGTGTCCGACTCTTCGTGACCCCATGGACCAGAGCACGCCAGGCACTCCTGTCTTCCACTGCCTCCTGCAGTTTGGTCATACTCTTGCTGGTAGCTTCGAGAACACTATCCAACCATCTCGTCCTCTGTTGTCCCTTTCTCCTTGTGCCCTCCATCTTTCCCAACATCAGAAAAGGGCACAAGGGAATACCTGCTACTTGAAGCAATTGTTTTAGATGTTTCAAAGACTAAATTAGATGACTGCTCCGATGCTTAGACTATAACTCTGAAACTGTTTCCCATTGTCAAGTGTAATATTTATTAGTAATCACATATTTAGAAATATAATTTTGCAAAAATGCTTTACAGTAATTAAATCTTGCTTTTAGTCACAACAACCATTTTACAGATGCAAAGTAACTTGGCCAAGTCCACTCAATGAGTTCATGGCCAAGAAGGACTTGTTTATCTTCTTAGTTTTCCTTGGGCATCTGGTTGGTTATTGAGAGAACAGGATGCTGGACTAAATGGGCCTAAAGAATCTAGTAGGGTTCTTCTTATAGTCACATGTCTGGCATGTTAAAGATCCCAGGAATGCTGTCGTCAGAAACTTTGGAGAATTGTTGCTAGTTGATGTCAACCACGCTGAGCTAGAAAGACCAATTGATTGACACTGTAGAAGGCAGTTTCCTATGTTCCTGTCCTCCTAGGGTTAGTTTTATTTTGGTACTTGTTCTGCACACTAATAAAATATTTCATCTCAGAATGTGCCATCCGTCTCCTTTCCCCTAAGATATCTGTTACATCTGCTCTTTTGTTTCATATTTTTATTGTCTTCCCCCACCATTGCATCAAGAATGTAGGAATATATACGTATGCTAGGGAAGCAAAGGCTCCATGTCTTGTACCCATCTTATAGCTGATGCTGCAAATAGCCATCTCCTCACTGAATAATGATGGAGGCACTTGCCCCATAGCGCTTTTCTGTCTCTCACACTGTGGCACCCACTACCACCCCACCTAGGCATGCAAGGTTAATGTGGCAGTGATTCGTGGTCCTGGCAGATGCTTTGTTAACTTAAGAAGTGTAGGAAATGTTATCATTTGCTAAAATTCATAATGGGATGTGAATTATAGTTTTAACTAATCCCCTCTTGGTAGGCTCTTTACCCAAAGCATTTAGATTATTAGTAGTGTTACATTAGGTTTAGGTGAGTTGCAGGAGAAGGTGCCCCAAGCGGTGTTCCAAGAAGCACTGGAGGAAATCCCTAGATAAAGAGTGATTTTCTCAACATGCATTAGGAACATAACCAACTGCCTCAATTTTAATTTTCAACATTAGACTTTGCATATGGTTTGTTTCATCTCATGAGAAACCAGCTACTAAACAGGTCCTGTTGGACATACGTGCTCCCATAATATTAACATTAATAATCTACTCACTTGCACATCTAATTCTCAGTGCTTCTTGAAGTGCCCTAAGCCAGTCTTAATTTGCTATTCATATCAGGAAGAGAACAATCGAGGAAAAGGGGCAATTGTTTTGTTTTTATTTAGCAAAGAGCACATAATTCTATAGGACATTAAGCTTAATGGCCCATCATCTGTCCAGGAAGGAGATTATTATAGGTGTAGCAAGCACCTTGACCATCTAGAGAGGCCTTAGCAAATGGAAAGAAGCTGACAGAGACTGTTAATTAAGTCTTTCCATTTTTTAAAATACTTTCTGCTTGCATAGGAAATAGAGATACAGTAGCCTCACCCTCCTAACTGAGGTTTGCTATTTGGGACAAAATATCCATAGCAGAATAAACAAGCGTCTATTTTCTTCACTGCGTGTCCTTCATCATTGTTCCGTGGGACATCTAGAACCTCAGGAAAAATGGGGAAATAAGTTACATTGAATAATGAGTTGGTTTGTTACCACTGATGTTTATTTACTCAGCAATAGAATATATGTTCATGCCTGATTAGGAAGGAAGGTTGTTATAAAGTGGATTCACATTGATGCTTCTCAAGGGCAAATTCCAAAAGAAATATCCTAATCCTTCTCTCTCTTAAGGTATTCAGCATTCCAGTTATGATGAAGTAGGTTGTCTTTGTTATGGAGTGAGTCATAGTTCCTCAACTTCAGCAGTGTCAACACAGTCTTAGTAGTAGAGCCAAACCTAATGCATATTTAAGAACACACATTAGTTGGTAGAAGGTGATTCATTCCAGTAGATTCAGTGTGTATTCTAATAAAACACCAAATGACAGCGAAAAGCAGAAATATTGAGAGAGACATGCAAATAAATTTATTCACTTAATATAGAATTCCTTTGTAATAGAGTGTTACATCTTTGGGTCACCTTTTAGTGATCCAATTGCCTAGCTAAACTGGGTTCACAGAAACAACCCTTAAACATTATGGCAACTCACAGTAGAGTTTTGTCTGGACCTGAGCCTTTATCAGTTTCTGAATCTCAGTCAGGTGTACCATGTCCCAGCTTTGTCCAAAGGATGAAACTGTAGGGAGACAAGCCTTTTTATAACAATAGATCAGAGTGGGTCAGGTGGTGCTCTTGATTCCTATAAAAGCTTCCTGGTTAAGATGGCTCACTTATTTGAGCAATTAGAGGATTCTATTCATGTTCTTTGTGTTGGCAACAACACATGCTTTGCATCTAGTGGATTCCAGGTTCAGTCACTAGAATATCCAGTTAGAAAGACTGAATTGACAGGAAAGACACCTCTGCCTGAGACTATGGAGCACTGCTGCTTGTCAGTGTATATAATACTGGGCTAAACCTAGTATAAGCATTCTTTTTGCTTTCCCTACATATTTGTCTGTCCCTGCCTACAGCTGGGCAGGAACTGAGTCTGACAAGTGGCTACTGAATTATTGCCTGAAACAAAAGCAAATGTGGGAGTTTCTCCCCACATCACATAATTTTTTAGCAAAATACTTTTGCTAAGATTGACAGTAGGTTTGTCCAGATGACCTGTGCTTTGGCTTAATTCGTCTTGATTTCTTTGCACAAAGGTTGCATGGTGGTTAGACTATATCTAGCCTTTATTGAGCATTTGTTCCAAATAGTTTACAGGCTGGTTGTATGGCAATGAGCATTTATCCTGTTTGGCTTTTGGGATCTTCACATTAATCATGCATTCATCCCACACTTTTCAGAGCATTTCCCTGTCACTTTCCTAACTATAAAAAGTTCGTGTTATTTGTAAAGTGGATTTTCTGTGCTAGGGTGACAGAGTGCTTTATTCCACTTCAATTGTTCAAAGCTAAATTTCTGATATGTAATTGAATCCCTCTCACAATATAATGACAATTTGGAGGCACCCAGTAATAGTTGGAGGCACCCCACACATCTGTAGTACAACTGAAAGAAAGATGAACAGAAATGATATTGCAACAAGATGCCCAAGATGTATTTTATAGGATATTAAAAGTTCAAAGGACAGCATAAGTTTGAAAAATATCATTTTATCACATGGAAGCACTACAGTATTGCCCCAGGACAAATCAATGGTTCTTGGAGTCAGATCAGGAATAATATATGTGCTTTCTTGCCAAGGGTCCAGGGGCTCATTGTTGAAGTTCCAGTTTTGAAGGCATATTTGGACAAGTTCAGAGGACGTAATTAAATTGATTTTCTGTCCCTGAGCTACATGTCCCCATCAAATTAATCTGATGCTAATGAAGTTTATGGACCATCTTCTCCAAGATGTCTACAAAATAGCGGGAAATAAATTAGCCAAATTGGAATGATAATGGTTTGATGGAAGTGCCTTTTACTCTGCTGGAACCAATTCTGTATTAGTTCAGATCAATGAGACAAGGGCAACTGCCAGATCATCAGCTGCCACAATACACTTAATACACTATAACGTCCTCTTCATACTATGAAAAGTGTTTGACGCCTCCTTTTTATGCACACAGTACAACCATCAGAAATTGATTTCCAAAAGCTCTGGGAATCTGCATCTTTGTGATAACATATACATTGCAGAGTAAGGTCATCAATCCACAGTATAAAGGTTTACTCAAGGTCCAAAGAATGCCAGCTGTCACTGTTTTTAAAAAGTCGCAAGACATCATGGTTGACTAGCAATTTTGTTGTGTTCTGATCTGATGCTTACTCTCGCAGAGAAAATGGCAAGGCTAGGAAGCTGGAGGCAGGTCAGAAGTTGCAGGACCATGGATAGTGCAGAGTGAGCAATTTGCTCTGAAAAATGTTGAGGGCTGCTTCACCTTTTAAAGCCCCGGCCTCTAGCTTCAATGCCTTTTGGAGAACTTTGGAGCCTTAAAGGGCTAACCCTTTGGCTTGCAAATGCATATTTCCCCTTCATTTTGTACCCCCCCTTTCTGGTATACTCTCTGTGCTGCTGGACCAAGGACATGGTACCATTTTAACAATCCCACATAGCTATTTCAAAAGTGGTCCTATTACATATTTGGCAGCCAACTAATTTTCTGTAATTTGATGTGTGGTGTGAGGAATGCACCAGTATTTCCAAAGTTATGACCCTAAATAGGAGACAGGACCATATCCTTGAAAACAGATATAAAACACAAAGTACATACTTTTACATAGTATGTAGAAACAAATGGACACCTCCCCCCCTGCAAAAAGTTTGTGTACAGTAAAAAGGTAAATGGACCCCTGACCATTAGGTCCAGTCGTGACCGACTCTGGGGTTGCGGCGCTCATCTCGCTTTATTGGCCGAGGGAGCCGGTGTACAACTTCCGGGTCATGTGGCCAGCATGACTAAGCTGCTTCTGGCGAACCAGAGCAGTGCACGGAAACACCGTTTACCTTCCCGCTGGAGTGGTACCTATTTATCTACTTGCACTTTGACGTGCTTTCGAACTGCTAGGTTGGCAGGAGCAGGGACCGAGTAACAGGAGCTCACCCTGTCGCGGGGATTCAGACCACCGACCTTCTGATCAGCAAGTCCTAGGCTCTGTGGTTTAACCCACAGCGCCACCAACGTCCCTTTTGTGTACAGTACATGCAATCATATTGCATATTGAAGTATGTGAAGGTACAAAATTTACATAATATAAAGAAATGGTTAATAAACCAAAACTTAAAACTAGGACAATTTTTTTTTAAAGTAGAAGATCCTATTTCTGGTGTGTGTGTATGGGGGGGGGGGGCAGAGCAGGTAGTTTAGACAACTGACAGCTTAAAATTATATCCAGTCAGTTGAGCCATTTTTTTTACTAGGCTACAGTCTGGGTGGCAAAAAATAATGTAAGATAACAGATTTTGGAAATGATTGACAAATGGTATTCATTTTGATTTCAGACATCCATTCCTTCTCATTCTTGTTAACTGCAATTCTTCAGGGCCCCTTTTTATACAAATATATTTCCATGTAAGAAGGTGCAAAATTAGCTTATTTCCTGATTTCTCCGAAGGCAAGGTGTTTCTTTTGTTGAGCTAGCAGCTACTTACACATCTGTGAGCTTAGATGAATAAAATGGAGGGGGGCATGGAGAGATGACTGAAGCTTGAGTCAACCAAAAGTTCTTTCATGGTGGCATAAATTCTTTTTTAAAAAATCCTGCTGCAGCAGTGGCAGAAATAAATACATATTTTTCTTTCTCTACTATGCATCTCCAAAGTGCTGTCCAGAAGTGATGTTTCATTTGGTGAACAGTCAGGTGAATACAGGGTGTTTCTGTCTGGAGGTTGAGTCATCAATATCATCCTGCAATTTCTCTGTTTTGTAGAGAAACCCAATCACATTCAACTTGTTTGGGGTGCTGGAATGGAAATTTTTGCCTGGTAGTATTGGTGGAGAGGTAAGGAGTAATAATTTATGAACTGGACCCCAGTCCATTGTGGCTGTTCAAATTAATTCAGGAAAAGCTGAGATGGTTTATGCATCTCTTAAAGAAGAACAGAATGATGGGTGGCCTTGAGATTACAGATGTTCAGGCTGTGCTCAAAAAGAAGCAAATTTTGATCCAGAATTCTTCAGCCATATAATGTTCTATTTACAACCTTCAATATGCGGTGAAAATGAGATTAAAAGTAAGTAAATATGAAATACTTAAGCAAGTACGTACTTAGACCACCGGTCCATCTCAGGTAGGGTATACCCTTTTGCATCCTAATTCTGCTGGTACTCTTATTATTTTATTTTAAGAAAGCCCAGAAAACAAAAACAGCTGCAATAATAATAGACAATAAAAGTTGCTCATAAGAATTGTTCATTGTTTGTAGTTAACAAATAGCAGAAAATATGGACAGCTACTACTGTACTGGCTCAATAAGATCCAGCATTTACCAAGTATTTTCATGGCTGCTTTGTCAACTGTTTCTAGCATGTTGCTTTGGAAGGGCCAGTGAGCATAACAGTACCCAAGGTCACATGAAGGGTGCAGTTGCTTCACTAAGGCTGCTATCCTAACCCCAGTTACCTGGAACTAAGCCCCACTGAATTAAATAGCATTTACTTCTGAGTACACATGATTAGGATTGTGCTGTAAAGTTGTGATCCTGTGCACACTTATTTCAGACAGTTCCTTCCAGTGCATTCCCAAGAGACTCTCAATTGCTTAGTGTATAATCACACGGGTGGCACTATGGTCTAAACCACAGAGCCTAGGGCTTGCTGATCAGAAGGTCGCCGATTCGAATCCCTGCTACGGGGTGAGCTCCCATCGCTCGGTTCCTGCTCCTGCCAACCTAGCAGTTTGAAAGCCCGTCAAAGTGCAAGTAGTTACCGTATTTTTTGCTCTATAAGACGCACCAGACCACAAGACACACCTAGTTTTTGGTGGAGGAAAACAAATAAAAAAGTATTCTGAATCTCAGAAGCCAGAACAGCAAGAGGGATTGCTGTGCAGTGAAAGCAGCAATCCCTCTTGCTGTTCTGGCTTCTGGGATAGCTGCACAGCCTGCATTCGCTCCAGAAGACGCACACACATTTCCCCTTACTTTTTAGGAGGGAAAAAGTGAGTCTTATAGAGCAAAAAATACGGTAAATAGGTACTGCTCTGGCGGGAAGGTAAACGGCATTTCCGTGTACTGCTCTGGTTCGCCAGAAGGGGCTTAGTCATGCTGGCCACATGACCCGGAAGCTCCCTCGGCCAGTAAAGTGAGATGAGCGCCGCAACCCCAGAGTTGTCCATGACTGGACCTAACGGTCAGGGGTACCTTTACCCTTTATAATCAAAGGAGGGAGAAGGGGAAAAAAGGAAAATTGAATGGTCCGACATTCATCTTGAGCCACCCATACTAGAAAGGTTTTCAATTTCTTGTTTAAAATAATGTATCTTACTTTTCTTTTTTTTTAACCCTGGATACAGAGGTGCCAGCTAGTGATGACTGTGATTGGTTGTACTGTCCAGATATGATTGGTCAGCACAGGAGATAGTCTCTAAATGAGAAGTAATACATTGGATGTGAGTGTGGAGGCAGAGGAGAGAATGAGCAATAGTTTAGGGAAGGTTTGAGGTTCAGAAAGATGATTGGGTGTGCAATGCATTCCCTTCCCCCCTCTCAATGAAGTTTGTATAGGATTGCAGCCTAAATCATATAATTAGGATGGATGAAAGGGAGCATAGATTTGTATATTATTGATATCAGAGGGTGAAAGGTGTTGATTGCAGAGGAACTGGAGGTAGTAGAAGCCTCCTTATATTAGAGGTTTCCAGATGTTGCTCCTAGGGAAAGACATGTTAGTAGTAACTGTTGGGATTGTATGCCAGAAAGAAAATGAGTAGTGAAAGGAGAACAGCAGCTGCTGTTAGCTGATAGCATTTTTTTTTTATGTTGTGCCATTTTATATTTTTCAGTAAGTGGAGAAATGATAGGAAATGTCTATAGAAATACATCATTGTGAAATATACTATATTCAAAAGATGTGTGTGCTCTCCCTTCTGATTTTCTTCCGTCTTTTCATCCATCCTGCATAAATATGGAGGTGTATTTCATTGAGTTGTTTTATAGAAGTGGCTTGTGGAATACTCTTGACTTCAGCTTTGAATAATATGCAGAATGGTTCAGGAAAACATTTCATTTTTACTAATTGGAATGAATTCAGTCAGGGGTTCAGGGAGGGAAATGTACCATGGATCTTTTTCTCTTGAGGCGATATCACCATAAATGGCTGGATCTAGAAGCAATTCACAAATTATGAATTGTGAGAGCAGATTAATGCTACACTGTGCTGTCGATTATTGACAAGTAAATAGTTCCTTGCCTGGAAACCCCTTGATGCCAAATAGGGCCATCCAAATGCTTCCAAAAGGGAGCTGTTAAACTGGAAACACCTTGATTCAGAATCAGTGCAATTGTGTGTGAAAATTGAAATGATGCAATCGTTTCCATGTATCATATGAGAATGGAAACAAACTACAGATAACGAGCATGACACTGAGCAGCTTAAAATTATTTAAGGAGTTACTGTTGGCATGTTAAAATAGGAAATATTGCCTTGCAGAATTAAAGTACGGCTGTGTTGAAGTGTGAGCAGGATACTTAAAAAGAGATTTGTTTGTTTATTAAAAATACAATGAAGTTATATAACTTGAAGTTCAACCATTGATTGATAATGCTATGTTAGGAAAATGCAAAGAGAAATTTATAGTTATTGTAAATTTAAGAGAAAGGATATTTCAAGTTAATTTACTAGTTAAAAAAAATACCCTTTTGTGAAATTACTTTATTTTTGTAGAAACCTTGGACTAGACATAAATCCCCAGAGGCTGGTTATAAAAGTTGAAAATAAAACTGATGATGGGTTTTACCTGCATGCAGAATGTAATAGCTTGCACTGGGGTTATTTAATGTGTAAATACATTCTGTTCAATGCCATTTGGATTGCCTGTAATTTGGGGCTAATATAGTTTTACATATATACTAATGAACTGTATTGCCATCTTGCTGTGAGATGTCTTCTCTTCAATGTCTGTTAAGGATTTAAAACTGTCTGGGTTTTTAAAAAAATCTATTTTGCAGTGCATCCTGGCTTCCCTGGAAGAATATTACACCTGAGAGATATTGGGATAATTTGTTTTGGTTAATAAATTATTTGGATAGTTGTGGAATTTTGACTATACTTGATTGTCTTTGCTTGTCGCCCCTGAAACATGTTTATTTATGTATAAACTGTTCTTCCTTTTCAGAGGTTTGGAGCTATTTAAGTAGTTAAAATAAACTACAGTTTAAAGTAAAATATGGTTTAATGTAATGTGTGAACCAGGCCACTGAAAACTGAGCATTTGACTGACCTCATTCTGGACATTGGTATTAAAATCTTTGCCACATACAGCTTGGGAAAGTGGATTGTCGCATCTTCCTTATTTTAGCAAGCGCTTTATAACATAATTATTAAGTTCAATAATATTTTGTGGGCAATATTCCATGTTCGTTCCTAATTTCAGATTTGGATGCATCTTGCAACACCAGATTTTATGTTTGTATTTGTAAATTTAAAACTACGCCACTTTTTTATTTTTAAAATGCCACCATTTTCCATTTTTAAATCTTTGGTATTCTAGTAATTTCACATATTTAGAGAATAATAATAATAATAATAATAATAATAATACAGGCTCTCCATTATGAAACACAGGTTGTGTTACTTTTGTTTTGCCACTGCTGCTATATTCAACACAAGATTATTGTTGATCATTGAGGTTCATATTTAAATATCTGCTTAAAGCTTCCTTCAGTCCTAATTATGTAAGTCGGACTTCCTTCTGAACTAACGTGCATAGAATTTACGCTATCTATCTGTGGTCCGATATACTAGCCTTCCCCCACTGGGTGTCCCCCAAATGTTTTGGAAAACAGCTCCCATTATCTATGACCACTGGGCATGCTGACCACTGTGTTTTAGGCAAATGCAACAGAATATTTGCAGACTTACTATGTATTTCTTTTGCTATGTCCATCTTACTTTAATTTCCAGTCAGTGTCAAAGTTACAGAAAACACATATCGTTACCCAGGTGTTCTGAGAAGGAACACTGTAAAGTACAAAAAAAGATTTTCAATACTTGTGGCAGGGAAAAATGTGACCAACAAACCAATTTTAGAGTTTAGCTACACTTGGTAAATTTGGAAGCCTTGTAAATCTAGAGTAAGTGGGGATAGCATTGGGCTCACTAATTTGCAAACAAGACTAGAGTGGCTCCAGGGATTTCTTTGAATGGGACTAAAATAAGTGGCTTTCCTAGTCATTAAGTTTACAAGCCTTTGCAAATCAATAGACCAGTCTGTTACGAAACAAATGACTGTCTTTAAAAAGCAAAAAGAGGGGATTTCACCACAGTGATCCAGGCAGTAACTAAGGTAACTAGGAAGTATTAAATCAGCATATTTAATTTCAGACTTTAAGGTTAGAGACATTGGGCTCCGGTAATAAGCCAAATCAGAGGAAAAATAATAGAATCATAGTGGATAGACTCTAGAAATATTTCTTCCCCAGTTCCATGCCATATTTGTTTCCTCGCACTTAAGCCTGTCTTATCTATATCCACAAGAAGAGAATAGCACTTAACAGGTTACCCCATGCAAACTATGTTGGCTAGATTATGGAAAGGAATAAATATACCTAATAGGAAATGGGTAAGTGTGTAACTGTTGATCAGCTGGACTTTTGATACAGTTTAACTGGCGGAAATTCCATATAAAGCTAGTTGGACAAATGTGGGAATGTTTTATGAGTTATCCAGGAACCCAAAATGATCACTCAAGGGATTTAAAAATCAATTAGCTTCCACAACTCTAGCATTCAAATAAGCCATTTTTCATCAAGTCAAACCTTAATATATACTAGAAAAGTCATTAGTACACCATTGTTCATTCTTCAAGATCACTTCTATCATATGCCCAGATGTATTTGGAGCATATGCTGATTGCAAATTCAATTCAAGGCAAATCTCTTCCGTCAAGGTTTCAGTTGACAATATCGTTCTCAGTATTTTCTGTCCCTGCTTTTATGCTGTTGCTGATGTTAGTAATATATTGTTTTTCAAATTATTTTGGGCTTTTGTGTTGCAGTGTAAACCAATGAAAGCATCAGGAAAGCAGCATATAAGCATTTTATTAAAGTACCACTCCGTATACAGTTACCTCTGAGAAACACCTGGGACAGTCTGAACACACTTCCAGGTTTCCTAAGCTTATAGACTATAATGAGAGGCAAAAACTCCCCTTGGTATTGTAACTGTGGCATGTTGAATATCTCTTTAATGAGCCTGTAATGGAACATTTCATTTCCCCCTTTGATACTTGCCTGGTGTGATTTAGTCCCACTGGGCATGGCTCTACTTCATTTTATATCTGGGTCAGGCATGTTGGGATTGAGTAGAAGGCTGTCTAAGCTGCTTTGCTTAGCTGCCATATAGATTTCTATGTATTGTTCTGAAGAAAAAGGAAGTTGCCTTTGAACCTGCCTGTCCCTGCTGAGTGTTCACATGAGAGTAGAATCTTTCACAACATGGACTCCTGAGTGCATAGTTCACCCCTGGTACGAGGGTGAGCAGATGCAGATCAGGACAGGGCTCCTTCACCTTTAATAAGTTGTCTTCCCATGTTATGCTGAACACAGGTACAAACTGTCTCCATCCATGTTTGTGTGAAAGAGTGCACACTTGTGGATTAATCCAGCTCAGCTACAGTGTACACAGGTACAAGACTCTACACTCATTGTACAGCTCAACTATTGTGTACATGTATGCTTGTTGAATGTAATATGTGAATGCCCCTGGAGTTGTATAGAAGAGGGAATTTCAGAAGGTGCAGCTTGCATAATGAGCTATACTTGATGAAATTCTGTCTTTTCAAACCAACTGCTAAAGGTGTAGCAACCCTCTCCTCTTTTTCATCTGGTCACCTTAACTGGATCTTGGAGGCAAATAATAAATATATGGTATCAGAAGGCCTGTCTTCTATTTTGGTCTCCAGCACATCAAACAGAACTGATGCCTAAGATAAAGCCAATTTGGATCAAATTTATAGGCTACAGGCATACCCTCCAACATTTCTCCAATGAAAATAGGGACGTCCGATTCCATAATGATAATTTTACTGTTTTTATACCACCCATCTTACTGGGTTGCCCTAGCCACTCTGGGCAGCTTCTAACATATATAAAAACATAATAAACTATTAAACATTTTTTTAAAAACCCTATGCAGGATTGCCCTCAGATGGCTCGGGGGTTAGATAACTCCATACCTTCCAACATTTCTCCCATGAAAATAGGGGCCTCCTAAGGAAAAGTGGGACATTCTGGGATCAAATTGGAAACCGGGACGGCTTCTTTAAATCAGGGATGTCTCTGGAAAATAGGGGCACTTGGAGGGTCTGCGAAGGTGATAGCTTGGTAACCTTCACCATTCTCTAGCAACAGTCCAGTGATGTAATAATGATTCATATTAGCTAAAGACATCTACTACTGTCCCCAGCCAGTTGATGTGCCATTAGAGATGTTATCTCATATCCTGAAAACAAATGAAGATGTGGTCTCTTACCTGGCTCCCAAACCTTAATATAAGTTGGGGAGAAGTGCTATGGAGATCTTTAAATGCTCACAGGATAGGCAAGCACCATACAGAGACTCTAAATTATGGTGACCGTGTTGCTGATGGTGAGAGGGAGTTTAAACTTGGAGCAAGAAGGAGGGAACTGTGGAGGAAAACAGAAACGGAAAGGTCAGCAAGAATGATTTCTTGATAGTTTTGTGCAATTTCAACCTTGTTTTGGGAGCTTTTGGAACAACATCCTCTCATTTAGCATTCCTTTTGTCTTCCATGGTTTGACAGTAACTCTAACAAATGTAGTGCTTTTTTTAGTCACAGTAGCTAACAATTAGTTAGCCGGTGGCAACATACACTTCCCATAGGATGTTGCTTCTCATTCCCAACTAGAGAAAGATGATGACTAAAGATGACAGATCTATTAATTATCTATGCATGTTTGGTTGTTTTCTTCAGCCTTAAGGATTCCACTTAATGCAGATCATATGGAAACTGCCGGAAGGATTGTGGTGTCCGTGTATGACAGTTAGGAGTGAAGCTCTCCCTTCCAAAGGACACCTGTGTAGTTTGTGTGCACCTCTCACAGGCAATCTTAAATAATTTGTAGAAGCAGGGATGTGTGAAAGTGCCTTAGTCCATTCTGACATCCATTTGCACTTGTAATGTGGTATTTTCCATTCTGTTGCGATTGGTTTATTTTGCATAAGTCTTTCTTCCATTTTGTCACCTGCTTATGGGGACTTCCGACGGGTTTGCTGACAAGGGTCATAGGAACGTGCAAGCCCACTCACCAGCACCAGCCCCTCCCAATTAAGTAGACTGCTATTTGTGGGTTTAAATAAACACTCACCTGTTCCTGTTTTCATCCTGATACACATCAAGCCTTGTGTTAAAGGCACTAGTAGTAAACAGTGAGGAAGCTGGCATGGAGCTGAAGTAAGATAGATGCATCCTTCCTATTGTATAGTAAGTCAGATTTCAGTGACCTGAAGCAAGAGTGTCCTTTTCTGAGAAAATTGGAAAAGCAGAAAATGGTTTAGGGAGCAGAGGAAGGTTATCGGATTAGAACACCTCTGAATGACAGCAGCTTTTGAGTGGAATATAAAATAATTATCTCATTTGTGGTCAGTTCAGATTGCATATTGTTTGTTCTCTCTGGGAGACTGGGTGACCTTTATTTTATGCATGTATTTCATTGTTGTAGTTTTTTACTTGATATTATTTACTTGTTTGTATTTTTTTTAAATGAAGTCCAGATCAACCCATCTTTTCATATTATTTATCACCAGTGTCACAAACACACTGCTCTGATGATATGTCTTTGCTCCTCCTTCCATCTAGTGTAGGATCTTTTCAGTTTTGCCTTACTTTGTCTTCACCTTCTAGTATCCAGAAGTTTCACAGCCCTCCCAGAAAAGTGTATTCTAAACTGTCCATATTTAGGGAGATCTTTTGGATTGGGATACTTTCAAAGACTTTATTCTAGAGGCACAGATAATGAAGTCTGCCACAGAACTGTACTACCTCAAGACTCCTTGCTTATATAAGCTCCCATTGTTTCTCAAAAACTTTCTCTTAGACACATGGAAAAGTATGTTGTTTTAACAAGAAATCTCTCCCATTCATTCTACAGTAGTACAGTCCCATGAGAAGTCTGTGGCTTTTGATGGCTTTTCTTATTTAGATTTATCCCACCTAGAGCAGGGGTAGGTATTAAAGGCCAAATTTGACATGGTGGTATGTGTATGTTTTCTCTAAGTCCAGGACCTGATCACAGAACACAGCAGGCACTATCTTTCTGTCTATCATTTAGACTTCACAAATATTTTACAGCATTATAAATGCACATATAAAACAATATAAATCTCTATATAACCACACTAACCAGTACTTGAAAGTTGTGTGTGTGTGTGTGCGCGCGTGCGTGCGTGTGTAAAACATATACATTACTTGTCATATATACAAATACATTACAAGTGCTGGTTACTGCAGTTGCATGCAAAGTACTATGGATATATTTTCTTAAATGTATTAATGTTACCATAATCATTTATTTAATGAATAAAAGATTTAGAGAGAAAACAAGGTAGGAAAGCAAGACAGTTGAGGTCGAAACCCAGAAGCAAGGGTCAGTTTTATCTTACTAGATCTTGTTAGACAATTGTCCCTTTATTCCTAGCATAGCCCAGATAGTTGTCTGTGTAAGTAATCTGGCTTTTTCTCTTGGACCTGTTCTGCTCTCAGCTTTTTAATGCCTTGTTTTTAACTTAGTGGCAGACTAAGTTACATTTATTTTGACTCTTGCCAGAGCGCTGTACAGTGGCCTGAGAGTTATGCAGCAAGAGACCTCCATCCATGTTGTTAGGTGGATTAACATCTGAAAGAAACAGCCTCTTCCTTTGAGGGCAGGCTCACAGGCCATGTTATTGTATATAATACTTCAAAGTTTCATTCCTGGGACTGCTCTTGAAAATTACCCATAATTGTCAGCTGATGCAAAGCACTATCCCCCCCCTTAAGTCTTTGGGGAGGATGAAGCAAAGGCAATAAGTTATTTGGCTGTTGAGCACTGGTTATCAGTTAGCTTCTGGGTGCAATGCAAGGTGCTGTTTTTAGACTATGAAGTTCTTTTCGGCAACATAAAACATTTTATTTAAACTGGTATGGGTGGACACGGATAGGATAGAGTTGCTAGCTTACTGTTATTACCTGTCCTGATCTCATGGGGTAAAGCAGGCCATAATTACAGTTAATAACTAAGGAAATCCTTCATGTGGACTTTCTGAGCCTTTGGCATCATAGTACCTCCCTAGAGTTGTACCAACAAAAAATATTTAAGGGTTGATTCAATTTTACATGTATTTGATACGCCTTATTTTTCCAATTTTACCTCATCTAGTATCAGATGGGAAATAATTCCATTTGTCTCAGGCCCTCATTGATAGCTCACATTTTATGCTATGGTCACAGAACATTACAATTCTGTTAAAAAGCTTCATTGTTATACAACCATTTAAGAGTTAAGTTTGTTCAACTCCATTAGGGTTCCAATATTAATTAGCCATATCTTCTCAGCAGCACTATGTTCGCTTTCTTGTTTTAAGAAAGTGGTCAGTTTTGCTGTAGTTATTAAATTCCCTCAAAGCATATTAATGTCTAAGTTAACAACTCTCAAGGGGTGAATTCATTTGTGCATTCCAACATTTTTCCTAATATACTACAGAAATGTATGCAATATGACTTGATTTTACAACACCTACCATTTCACATTGCCATTGTTAATTTGAATATCTCGGATAAATCCTTTTAGATCTGGCAGGGACAAGGAGCTAAAAAACACATCTTATTATATAGAGAGCTTATAGAAACACAGTATATGAGCCATATTTATAAATATATGGCCATTGTTTATCAGGGATCTCAGTGTCTATAAAGTTTTCTATTTTTAGGGCTGTGTTGCCATGCAGATCTGCATGGCTCTGTCCTATGAGTTCCATAATGTTTTAGTGCTCAGGCTGCAATCATATGGGTCCTGGGACTTTCTTCCATTTTAGGACTGTACAGTTCTCCATCTCTGTTAATTTATGTTTTGAACAATTGACTTGTCTTTTCTAATCTAGAAGTTGATAATGGCTACATGTAACAAGGATGCTGCACCAAGTGATGCTGTGTTCCAGAGTGACAATGAGCTTGAGCCCGCCCTCCCTCTTTTTTTTAAGCACATGAGACAAGCCCTGCTGGATCCTACCAAAGGCCCATCTAGTCTATTATCCTGTTCTCTCTATGACCAACCAAATGCCCATGAGGAGCCTGCAAGGAGAACCTCAGTACAGTTGCACTCTCCCCCACTTGTGATTCCCAACAACTGGTATTGAAGGGCATTCTCTCTTCAACAGTGGAAGTAGCTAGTAGCCATTAATAGCCTTATCCTCTATGGCAGGCATGGTGAAACTTTGCCCTCCAGATGTTTTGGGATTACAGCTCCCATCATCCCTAGCTAACAGGACCAGTGGTCAGGGATGATGGGAATTGTAGTCCCAAAACATCTGGAGGGCCAAGCAACTATGGGTTTGTCTAAACCCCTTTTATAGCCATCTACATTTGTGGCTATCTCTACATTTTATGATAGCAAATTCATAGATTTAACTCTGTGCTATGTGAACATGTTTTTTGGCTCGTAGTTTGAGCATTATGAGAGAAGGTGAAAACCCTCTCTGTATTCACTTCCTCCACACAATGCTTAGTTTCATTTTCCCTTTCTCTTGTGTGCTTGGCTGCAAGGATTCTTCCTGATTGCTTAAACCATAGTTTCCGATGATATTTGAATTGGGAAATGGTAGCTTTCAGGACTCCCTACAGAGAGTCCAGATAAGGATCAGATTATCACAGGAAGCTGTGGTTTTAAAATCCACTAACTTTTCTTTGCAGCTAGATGGGGAAGAAGAGCAGGGAAGGGGAGGGGAGAGAGAATAAGGAAGTGGTCCAGCTTGTCACTTGTTCATGTGGCAGCAAACTGTGGTTTTTTGCAATGATGACCTTGATTCATCTGAAGCAGGCCAATGAGTGCTTTAGTTCTAAGGTGCCTTTGTTTTACATTCCAAGGTGTTCCATTTCAACCAGCTTAATTCAAGAGGGTTGAACATTTCCTAAGAATAGGACATTAACTTACTAGGCACCCATTGTTATTAATTGCTGTTAAACGTTTTAAACTTTGGCTTGCACCAACATGCTTGCTTTTTGTATATGTACTGGAATAAGAATAACTGTAGAGATCAGAAGCCTGTACTGTGACATCGACATATTTAGGTTGACATTTTTTTAATGAGAATATAAAGTGTCAAAGATGTTGCTTAGGGCTATTTCAGCTACTAGTTAGTAAGCTGGAATAAGCAGTGGGTGCCCCATGAGAACAAGAACTTCCACAGGTATGTTGGTATAGCATACATTGGAAGAATAGAGATAATAAAATTATATCCTGAATATACAGGTTTTTTTCTAGATATAATCAAGAGCCAATTTACACTTACTATTCTAGGCACACACCAAAGTTTTAAAAGTGTGCAGCTAAAATACGTAAAGTGTGAATGTGACGAACACATGTTTGCAAATATATATTTCACACATATACTTCTCAGGGACATGTGACTGGCTGCAGCTCTCTCTTGACTTTATGCTCAAACCCTGGTTTGCCCCCGTGTAATGTGTGAAATGGTCCCCAAAGGACAGTGATTTGGAGATCAGCAAAGCTTTTTAGATGCTGCTTCTACAAAATGAATTGAGGTTGAACATTTCACTTCGGGGTTGTGTACTTTTTTCAAGATACAGTGGTACCTCAGGTTAAGTACTTAATTTGTTCCGGAGATCCATACTTAACCTGAAACTGTTCTTAACCTGAAGCACCACTTTAGCTAATGGGGCCTCCTGCTGCTGCCGCGCCACCGGAGCATGATTTCTGTTCTCATCCTGAAGCAAAGTTCTTAACCCGAGGTAATTTTTCTGGGTTAGCGGAGTCTGTAACCTGAAGCGTATGTAACCTGAGGTACCACTGTACTGTAAGTGTACATTTGGAGTGCCCATAGGCCTGTGACACTTGGTGAATACTTCAGGATATAAC